AACTAGAACACTGACAGGTCAGTAAGGGCCCCGTCTTGTGGCAATATATCCCCCATAATCATCAAGAAGCAATCTGCCCATATAGCTGAGCTTGACGTTTGACATTTGGACTTCAAAAAGAATCGCAAGGAAGCAAAATATACATTTTACATGTACTATGATGTGAGTCTTGTTTCCTTCCACCTCCATATTTGCTGGGCTAACAGAAATGTAAATACCGGTGCAATACTCATTTGTTAGCTTTGATTTGTTTTATTTCACCTTATATACCTCCTACATCAAGAGCCAGGGTCAAAGTCAGAGATCCACTTTGTCTTTGACCTTTGGACCCAAATGACCTTGACCATTAACCTAGTGACCCTGAACTTTGGTCAGTTGACTTATTCTTTAATTCCGACCAACTTTGCTTCTTGATATCATAACAAAATGTTCATCAGTGAAAAATACAAAACTTGACCTTGACCCTTTGGACCCCGTAACCTGGACCTATAGGTCAGTTGACTCTGTGTTAAGTTCTGAACAACATTGCTTCATAATGTCATAACAAAATGTTCATCAGTGAAAAGATGTAAAATTTGACCTTGACCTTTGAACCTAATGACCTTGACCTTTGACCTTGATTTTTTAACCTCAATGTGTATTTTTGTGAACTGAACATCTTGACCAAGTTTCATGTTCATCGGTCAATAAATACCAAAGTTATCAGCCAGGAACAGAATTTGTGGACGGACAGACAGACAGACAGACAGACAGACAGACAGAGTGATTACTATAGGGCACCCGTATCTCCGATACGGGGCCCTAATTACAAGTTCAGTTACCTCATAGGACTGAGCTTCTAATTACAAGTTTGGTTACCTCAGAGGACTGAGCTTCTAATTACAAGTGCAGTTACCTGTTAAGGACTAAGCTTCTAATAACAAGTTCATTTACCTCATAGGACAGAGCTTCTAATTACATCTCATATACCCAATAGGGCAGATTCATTCATCTTGCTAGTAAACCGAAAATTAGATACTCCTGAAAAATACCATAATAACCGATATATCATAATAACCGATCAAGCTGTTTTTCGATCGTTTTTATGTTGTCTGAACCGGAAGTGAGATGCCCTATATCAATCAGACATAGATTGAAGTATACCTTACCCAATGACACTAGGCTAGTGACATCTTCAAATACCTTTGAGAACAGAGCTTACACAATAATCCCCCTTATAAGACAGTGCTCTAATAGTTTTTATGGCAATCAGTTTTTTGGGTAAAATTGAAGTTGTCTATATTTTTCAAAGAAAAATATATTTCTGAATATGATATACATCATAATGTCAACTTGATCCATTTGTTACATAATTGTTGGGCTAGCAGTATTTTTTTTGGATTGGAGGATTATTAGAAGTGTTACCCCTGGGTTATACTCTGGGAAAAAAATGTACAAACCCACAAAAATTCTGTGTAGCCAAATGGTTTTGCTATGAAAATTTTGTATCGCCGAACTGGGATTTTATTTTGCCAATTTTTGTCGCGCTCTCGACTTCTAGTGTATTTTTCAGATAATTGATTCATCAAGAACTAATCCACTAAAATTGTGTTCATTATAATTGCTCCTTTTTTTCTGTGTGTATTGTTAGCAGAATGCTAGTTAAAGAGAAAAAAAGAAAAGAAAACAATGTTTTCCATCTTTCATTTATTCTTTCCCATCATCTATAATACTTTGTTTCTTATTCAATTTTTAATATCAATTCATCAAGGCTCATAAGATCTTATATAGGTACACATATTCTGGAAATAAATACTACTGTTTGAAAATACTGTCTTATATCTTATTATTTTGCTGAGCACCAAAGTCACTTATTGTTCAATAGTTTATCTCAAAATAAAGCTTTGATGCAAATGTCACAATATTGTTATCATCATTTCATCGGGATTTATATACCTTAACCACGCCTGTCAATTGCCGCTTTTGGGTTTAATATTTATAGTTTTTTGGGAGAGATGGCATGAGGAAAACATAACTGGGTGTCCCTATCTAATTCATCTGCCCAAACCCTGCAGAATTTGTCAATTCCAGTATCTAGTACATAGTGGGTTTGGAAAAACCAAACGAAGAAAGTCAACAAATTCCGATGCCAGAGAATCGACGATCAACTTACGTTTCAACATCTCAGTGGGTTTTCCCATAATTAAGAAAGTGTAGTTTTTTCAATTATAGGCTTCGTTCAATGTAAGTTCTGTTTGGGTTTTTTTCCAAATCTCTTAAGCCTATAGCTCTAGTGTGCATATTTTTTCCCCGGCTCACTTTCATGTTGATCTCCCATCTAACACTACGTAAACAATCGATAACCTCATAAATTATTTCAATATTTATTAAAAGAAGCATCATAAAACAGTGTATTCTGCTTTTATTTTCCCCTTTTAAGTAGATTTGAAGAGGATTTTGTATTGAATGTCCACGCTTATGGTATAAACATATTTTTTTATAATCCCTTTACTGTCAAATCAGTCTGTAGTTCTAACAGTGCAGTAGGGCTTCACGCCACATGTTGATGAATGAAAAACAACATGTACGGTCCCTGGATCGCGACTGCAAATAAATTTCAATTAAATTTCAGTAGAGCTATTGTTAACCGGTAATCACAGATAGAGTGTTAGGTAATCACTGCATTGTAATTTGTATTAAATGAGGTGATGAGAAGTGTCAATAATTTTCGCTGAAGCATGGCGATCCTACATAGCCTAACGCTATTGTCCGGGACCTGACGGCGTCGGTGGTTATGCCCTCCAGTCAACTTACCTGTAAAAATATTACCTGTACCCAGCTAGTGTTTGTCGCCAAATCAGCAGTCATGACCACAGATTACCGATTTTAATCATTTTAGAGAAGGTAAAAATGGTGTCGCCAAAGAATATCGCCAAACTGATTTTTTTGTCGCCAACTCTGAAAAAGTGTCGCCATTTGGCGACTTGGCAATTGTTAATGAGTGCCCTGCTTTTATTTACTGATGATCAACTCTGACAAAGCGAGACCAATTATTACTGACAAGTCCTAACAGTGATAACAAGCTGCTAATGGTTCTTGTCCCATCATCAGCCAATCACTTCCACAAAATACAAAAATACCTGCCTAGAATAAAATTGGACTTGGATGGATCCTCCTCCTCCTTAGAAAGTGCAGGACCTGCTTCCCCGGAAAACTGTCAACACAAAACACCTTGAAATGTTTCATCTTGTGAAATCCTATTAACAAGATTTAACCAACGCATTGTTATCTATTATAAAAAACTAACATTTCTGGTGATAAAAGTTAGGAAAATGCAAAAATTACAAGAGCTTTTGGAAAACTGCATTGCCCTCTCATACCGAGAATACTTGAGAAACAGTTAATTCCAAAACAGGTGAAAATTCAAAATGTGAGTGAGTTTGTTTGACTTCTCTACAACATTCGACCCCCTGGAACTTCTATAATTCATGGCCAGAACCCTGACCCAAGCACTTGAGGTAATAACAAGAGGCCCAGGGGCCTGAATAGCTCACCTGGTATTTCATTTTTCAATTTAAAACCTGCTGAGTACCATTCAGGTTTATCAAAGGAGTACAAGTAACAAAGTTGCATCTTCCATTTATAAATATTCAATTCCCTTTGCCCAAAGATTCTCTAAAACAAGTTTGGTTAGGTTAAAATCCCTTCAACGGTACAGAAGGAGAAGGATCTTTAATGTTTTCCTCTATTTCCCCTAATGGGCCCCACTAATCTGCCCCAAAGAAGGGGAATCCACACACCTCAGTTTAAACAAAATTGATTCTTTTCTCCCTAAGCATGCTTCAGACTGCATTTGGTTTAAATCCCTTCACTTGTATAGTAGGAGAAAAAAAATCCTCTATTTCCCCTATTGGGCCCCGCTCCTATGCCGCCAGAAGGCCCACACCCTCCGTTTATACAAACTTGAGTCTCCTTTGTCCAAAGATGCTCTAGGACAAATTTGGTCAAAATCCTTCAATTGGTTGAGGAGAAGATTTTTAAAGATTTACCTATTTTCCCCTATTTGGCCCCGTCCCTCTGCCCCCAGGGGGACCATACCCTCCGTTCATACAAAACTGAGAACCCTTTGGCCAATGATGCTCCAGACCAAATTTGGTCAAAATCCCTTCATCGGTACAAAAGGAGAAGGATATTTGATGTTTTCCTCTATTTCCCCTAATGGGCCCCACCCATCTGCCCTTAGAAGGAGGCCCACACACCTCAGTTTATACAAAATTGATTCTTTTGTCCCTAATCATGCTTCAGACTGCATTTGGTTAAAATCCCTTCACTTGTATAGCAGGAGAAAAAAAATNAAAAAATCCTCTACTTCCCCTATTTGGCCCCGCCCCTCTGCCCCCAAAGAGGCCACACCCTCCGTTTATACAAACTTGAGTCTCCTTTGTCCAAAGATGCTCTAGGACAAATTTGGTCAAAATTCTTCTATTGGTTGAGAAGAAGAAGATTTTTAAAGATTTACCTATTTTCCCCCTATTTGGCCCCGCCCCTCTGCCCCCAGGGGGGGTTATACCCTCCGTTTATACAAAACTGAGAACCCTTTGGCCAATGATGCTCCTGACCAAATTTGGTCAAAATCCTCCGAGCCATTCAGGACAAGCAGCATTTTAAAGGAAAAAGTTGACGGACGACGGACGCTGCACCATGGGATAAGCTCACATGGCCCTTCGGGCCAGGTGAGCTAATAAATATACAAATGTTGTGAATTTCAATACTTATGCAAAAACTTTAACTGGGAAATTCTGGCAAGTCTAAAATAGTGAAAATAATTGATCTAAAGATGAAGGTATGAATAATATACTATGAACTAGAAATAGCTGGTTTCATTCATAAAATATAAATCTACCTACCATTTCAGGACTGATGGTAACTGGTGGAGAATCAGGATTAAATAACTGAAATAGTTAAAGTTATCAAATTACTTGAATACCCCATGTTTATTGAATATTTTGCTTGGTCCAATCGCATTTTAATAAATTATTTGGAAAACCTCAGATTAATTACTTGAGCCATCATTGCTTGAACAGTCTGTGTTCCTTGAAATCTTATTTATCCCCGACTGCTTAAAGGGGCTGGTCGGAGGAAAACCCCCACAAAATAAAGGGGTCTAAATGCGTTCTCTGGCCTTCCAAAAGTTATACCACGGCAATATGATGGTCGAGATCTGCTTGCAATGTCCAGTTTTGACCACTGAAATCTTGGGGAAGCCCCGCGTAAATTTAGTGCAGATCTATTTATATAATGTCACATGGTTGTTTCGAAAGTAAGGCAGTGAAGATAACAACAATAGCACGTCGTCTATCAGCCATGTCGGACTCAACTAGCGGACAAGACAGCAATACTATACGTAATTAATTGTTTTCAAAGGTCAAGTATGATGCAAGTGTAGTATTCCTACCTATATGTTGTTGTTATATATAACGGTATTGATACCTCGTGCCTGTCATGACTTTTGCATGCATCTTTTTCTTTCGCCGCGATGTTTACATTTGGCCATGTTGATGACGCGCATGCGGTAAATTAACTTCACTAATCTGGGTCAATTGAGAGTTTTAGACTGTCAGGTGACGATTTAGGATTTCTTTAATATAATTATAATTTTTACTCTAAGGGAGTGAATTTCAGCAAAATTTGAATCGGTACGTTTCATAAGAAGGTATTTTAAACATGTGTATGTCATTTTAGCAAATATGACATTTTTTCCCTGACCAGCCCCTTTAAGTCCTTAGTATCAATCCTACATTGTATCTGTTCTTCAAACAGGTAGTCACACCAGCTGTGTATCACACCTACTGCGAGCTATTGAAATGCCTTGAGACACAGACTGCAGTCCAGGCTTATCGTGTTTACACAAGTGTCAGCCGGAGGTCAGCCAATTAGAAACAGCATGGCAGTATCATAAAGTACCTGTATCATTAACCTGTAGTTTTATTATCATTTTGTTTACATATTTGAAATTTCATAACAATGAATAGTCATGTTTTATCGAAAGTGTTCATCTACTTCATGTGTGAAATCATATTTCGGTATAGCAACATCAAGCAGATTATCAACCATTTTTAAAGATATTCTCACTTGACTTCATTTTGATTGTTAAGTTTGTTATCAATCAACATTTTAATAGCATGGATTCAACAATTTTCTTCATTTATAATAAAAAATATCTAGAAGTTTCTCTCATTTCATTTTCCTGTAAAATTAATCGAACTGGTAACTAAATGTGGTATGGTGGACATAGACTTAGACATAAGTACAGCTTCTTTATTTTATATACAGATGGCTATATGTTGAACAGCTTCATATCTTATCAAATGTTTTTTTTTTTTAAACTGCTTTTTTTCCCCTCCCATCATCTACATCATACGACATCAGCAGAGCTCAAGTTGTGCTGCCATTCTATTTGATCGATACATTGTACTGAAACAACTTTTATCATATTTAAGTATATATAACAGTACTGAAACAGTTTTTTAAGGTAGAGAATCCTCTGGATGCCAAAATGTATAGAATTGACTGTAACACTTACCCCCAATAGGAAGTTAGGGTCAACACTGTACTGGCCCCCACACAGTACATCCTTCAGACTGTCAATATCAAACTGCAGGCTGTCCAGGTGCTCGGACATCTCCGACCTAAAACCCAAACCAGTATCAATTGCACTAACAAAGTTTCAAAGGGTCGTCATAAAACTTTGATGTTCCTCACAGTCCTTACTATATATATATTTTAATGTGCATTGCTTTCATCCTTTGGAGTGACTAAAGAATGGCTCTTGTTTATGCTCATCATGCTGGTTATGCTGTATACTATTCCGTCTTTACGTATTGCAGAGTTATCTTCTCTTGTGAGCAGGTATTGATTGTTACGTCATTATGTCGTTTTCTCAAAAATTGATGACGTTACACTCACAAACAAATGACGTAACAATCATTACCTGCTCAAAAGAGAAGATAACTCTGCAATACGCAAAGACGAAATACTTCAATAGGTGCATGCCCTCTGCAAAGTAGTATATGAAAGAGAGTACACTGTTATCTTTAGGTCATTCCTTATAGCTTAATTTGAAACACATGCAAAAACTTTATATATGCAGGTTAAATGTAGTTTATTATTACTTTTTGTTTCACAAGAAAAGAAAACAACTGAACATTTCTTTGGATAGATTCATTATCCCACCAATCAAAATCAAGAATTTCAAAAAACTTCTAGTCTTTGTTGTTTTTGAGATTATCACAAATAATTTATCCATAAATATTAAACATTAAATGAATTGTTTATCTTTAACAAGTACATTTAATTGATTGCATGCAACATTTTCATGTACATCCTGTGATCTCATTTTCATTAAAAATAAACAAGTACATCTGTAAGTGATATTTCAGGAATGAATAAAATTTAGAGGTAGGGAGGCACTAATATTTGGTATTTTATCAGTGGTTGGGTCTAAAAATATTATTTGCATTTTGTAGCGAGGTTAAGAAAAAAAAAAATTGTGGGTGGTGGTGATGGTGGGATTTGTCCATGAAGGTGCCTCCCCTACCTTCAATAATTTCTGGAATAGCCCTTATTTCACTAAAGATATGTTGAATTTCATAAGAAAAATCCCTTTCTAACATTATTTCATAGAATTCACCTTGTTTTCTTATCCCTTCATTTCTAGTTTAAAACTAAAATACTGACAGGTCAGCAAGGGCCCGCTGTATGCCTGACAGTGTATCTCCCATATAGAGTACTGACAGGTCAGCAAGGGCCCGCTGTAGCCTGACAGTGTAACTCCTGTATAAGCTAAAGTGATCATTGACTGTTCAAAAAGGACCATTTACAATAATACCTTTTTTGACAGTATATGCCCTGTTCTATTTCAAAGTAATGCAACGTTGACCTTCAAAACGTTTTAAAGCCTTATTGCACTTGTACAATCTTGTGAAATTTCAGAAAATTTTAACTTCTGTAAAGGTCTTATATCACATATTTTTGACAGTATTCCCATTTCCAATTTTAGTAACAGCGACGTTGACGCTAGGAATTTTTTAAACCACTATTGCATATAATTACAGTGTATCATCATGAGAAATTTCAGAAAGTTTTGCCCTTATATGATGTATTTTGACAGTATATTCCAAATTCTATTTTTAGCAAGTGACCTTGACCTTAGGAACTTTTTAAACCCCTATTGCACATCTGCACATCCCAGTGTATCACCGTGTGAAATTTCAGACACTTTGGCCATCTGGATCATGAGATAATATCAAGAAATGAAAGTGCTGACGGATTATTACTATAGGGCACCCACATTTTGCGGGGCCTTAATAAATTCTGGTTTAAACTATACAAGAGGCCAAGAGGACCTGTATTGCTCCCCTGGATAATAAAGCAACCATGGGAAATAATTCTCATTACATAGAAGAGGCCCAAGGGCATTAGCAGTCACCTGGGTTTTATCCTAGGTAATGGTAGCTTCATTTTATTGCTAAGATGTGATGTGGAAATCAGCATGTAAACTAAGTGAAATACAATATTTGTCATGTCATCAAAGGATAAGAATTTTAAAATATTGGTAAATGTTCCATTTGGAGCCCCACCCTAGCCCCTGGGAATGGGGCAGGAATTCCAATTTTACAATGTTATACTCTCATCCACCAAAGATGATTCTGACCAAGTTTAAATAATTTTCTGCTGAAAAGGGATAAAATATACCCAAAAGTGTTATTTCCCTATATAAACTATAGTAAACTTTACCCCCTCCCCAAGGGTGAACGAATAGCTCGGGGGTCCTGAAAGTTACAATCTAAATAAAGCCCCTGATGATCTTTCCATCCATGCAGAGAAAATGACTGTAGTACCTCTGTATCTGGAGAAGAAGATTTTTGAAATATTGGTTAATTTTCCCTTTGGGGCCCCGCCCTGGCGCCAGGGGTTGGGGTAGGAATCCTAATTTTACAATTTTGTAGCCTCATCTACCAAGGATGATTCTGACCAAGTTTGAAAAAATTCCGTCTACTGGTTCTTGAGAAGAAGTTGAAAATGTAAAAAGTTTATGCACAATGGATGACAGACGGAAAGTGATCGGAATAGGTCACTTGCGCATAGCTCAGGTGACCTAAAAATACCTCCAATCGTTCATCAGAAGAAGGATATTTAAGATTTGAACCTCTAATTCCCCTATAGGGCTCCACAACTCTGCACCAAGAGCGGCCACACCCTCCGTTTATACAAAATAAAGTCGCCTTTGCCCAAGGATACTCCAGGTCTGATGTGGATAAAATCCCTTAAAATAGTACAGGAGGATAGGTTTTTAACGATTTTAACCTCAAATTCCCCTTTTTACCTCCGCTGCTCTGCATCCAAATGGGCCACACCCACTTTTTATACAAAATTGTGTCATCTAGGCCCAAGGCTGCTCAAGACCAAATAAGGATAAAATCCCTTTATCCCTATGGTAGGAGAAGAATGTCAAAGGTTTTACCTCTATTTCCCCTATTTGACCTGCTAGGTCCAAACTCACCGTTCATACAAAATTTAGTCCCCTTGGCCCAAGGATGCTCCAGTTAAAACTGGAATGAAATCCCTGAATCCCTACGATAGAAGACGGCATTTCAAGATTTTACCTCTATTTCCCCTATTTGGCCCCGCCCCTCTGCCCTAAGGAGCGCCATGTGCACAGCCACTGTTTATAAAAAATTGAATGCCCTTGGCCTAAGGGTGCTCCAGACCAAATTTAGTCAAAATCTATGGAGCCGTTCAGGACAAATAGTGTTTTAAAGGAAAAGATGAAGGACGCTGTGCCATGGCATACGGTAAGCTCACTGGGTGAGCTAAATATAAACAAGAGGCCCAATGGGGTATTAATCTCACACTTGTAATCTTAAAAGTGGATTAATATACAACTACAGGCAAAACATCTGTGTTGGATCCATTTGAATCTATTAAATGATTTAAACATATGACGCCTGCGACCTTAAAAGTTTATAGCCTTTCATCCCGGGATATTTCTGGCTAAATATCATTACCCTGGACCTTTTGAATATTCAGAACAAGTCATTTAAAGATTTAAACATATTTGATCCCTGTGACCTTGAATATGAGCAAAGGTCATTCATTTGAACAAACCTGGTAGCCATTCATCCCAGCATGTTACTGGCAAAATATCATCATCCAAGGCCTTTTGGTTATTGAGAAGTTGTTTAAAGTTTTTAAACATATTTGACCCCTGTGACCTTGAAAATAGGGGAAGGTCGTTTGTTTGAACAAACTTGGTAGCCCTTCATCCTAGCATGTTACTGGCAAAGGCCTTTTGGTTATTGAGAAGAGCTTTTTAAAAGATGTTTAACATAATTGACCCCTGTGACCTTGAAAATATATGAAGGTAATTCATTTGAATAAACTTGGTAGCCCTTCATCCCAGCATGTTACTGGCCAAATGTCATTAGCCTATGCCTCTTGGATATTCAGGAGAAGTTATGTAAAGGTTTTAACCATATTTGACCCCTGTGATCTTGAAAATAGGTGCAGGTCGTTTGTTTGAACAAACTTGGTAGCCCTTCATCCCAGCATGTTACTGTCCAAATATCATTATCCTAAGCTTCTTGGTTATTCAGAAGAAGTTGTTGAAAGGTTTTAAACATATTTGACCTGTGTGACCTTGAAAATGGGTGAAGGTCATTTATTTGAACAAACTTGGTAGCCCTCTATCACAGCATGCTACTGGCCAAATATCATCACCCTGGGAATTTTGGTTATTCAGAAGAAGTTGTTTAAAGTTTTTAACATGTTTGACCCTTGTGACCTTGAAAATAGATGAAGGTCATTTATTTGAACAAACTTGGTAGCCCTACGTTCCAGTTTGCTTCTGGCCAAATATCATCACCCTAGGCCTTTCGGTTATTAAGAAGAAGTCGTTTAAAGTAAAATATTGACGACGGACGCCGCACCACAGCATAAGCTCACTTGGCACTTCGTTCCAGGTGAGCTAAAACCATTCCTTATATATAAACATGTAAGAAAGGTAGTTTGACATGCTCAAAAACTCATTTTTTTAGTTTCACAGGAAATCAAGTACCAACTAGAGTAGATTGTGACCAGACTTGGAGATGTTGAGCATGAAAGTGATATATGTATCAAATGTCTGATAATATACCCAGTCTGAATGTCTTTGTTCGCATATTACAGAACAATTTCCCTAGTAGGGGGAATAATAGCACAGTACTTGGGATCATGTTGTCAATCCAATAGGAAAATTTTCTACATGCATTTTCTTTATATCCAGAGTATACAGATAGGCAGAATTCAGTTTACAAGAAACAATTACTTAACTTGGCCACGTCTCATTCACAATGTACTGGGATGTTTCAAAACATGTTTCCTATTATACTTAGGTAAGATTGGTAAATAATTTTAAGTCTACATGTATGTTTCAGGACTTTCCTATTATACTGAGGTATTAAGAATGGTAAGGCTTTATGTACAAATGAATTCCTTATAATTTGGGTTGTTGGCATTACAGGTATTTCAGATGACTGTGGTCCATTAAGTTGTGATAATCACTGAAAGCAGGATTATCCTTGACCTTTGTCCAGAGATCATAGCTGAGGTAGCAAATGCCATCACCAACAGCAATATTTAGACTGCATATAAGCTTGAAAACTTTATCTGTCATGATTCAGTTTGACAATTTCAAGTTGCAAAATCCAAGACTGCAGACTAAACCTGTACTCTATCGTTCTCAATATCAATGGTAAAGCTTTAATGCATGCATGTCTTGGCACTTGTCCGCAGAAGGTTAAAACATGCAAAAAAGTAGTGGCAAACAATAAGAGATTCATGAACACATCCCATAATCATTGATCCCTCTGATTTCGCCCCCAGATCATCTGGACATGTCAACTTCCTTGCCTTCAGTAACCATTCCCGGAGTTTTACAAACAAAGATTTGGAAAGTTGCTCTTTATTAAGAATTTATCGTTTTCTTCATTACAAAATACTAAAAGATGAAACTTGCAAATTCAATATGTATTTCACAAGACAGTACCACACAAAGATAACATGGATTCGTGTTAATTATACTCCACCCCGTTATAATTTCAGCTGAGCAAACTTACACAGAAGGCTGTCTACTGAGTGTGTGGACGGGAGGATTTTGTGGGGCTACATTAGAGCTGCTGCAAAGAAACACATAAATATTACAACATTTCTGTACAGGCAGCATACACATATCACATAGTACAGGCACACTAGTTTAACATCAAGCTCAAACAATGAAAGAAAGGAAAGGATTCAGAAATCAATGAAAAAAATAAAATAAAATTTTGCAGATATGGACAAAATTCACTAAAATAAAGAAATTAACTACAAACTTTTCTGAATAGAAAGTATTCATAAAGACATATGAAGTATTTGACATGAAATATCAATTTTTAATGCTTCCTGTCTACAAATACACATTGTATCAAATCGCATGCTGGGTAATACTACACATTGATGCTTTATGTGTGCAACTTACTTAGATACATGGTTGACTGAAATGCTGAGTGGTGTCTGATTTATCTCTTCTTCAGCATCACTTGACTTTGCCTGCCCGGTGCTTCTTGATATCACTTCTGATAATGCGTCAGTTGAGATTCCACTTATATCTGGGTACATTCCCTCAGTAAACATTGCCATATTATCAACCAGATCAGAAGTCTGCAAAACAAGACATATAAATCATTACCAGTATAATTTACATGGCAAGAGGTCCTGGGCCTGGGCCTTTAAAGATTACAAATAATTTTATCTATAAACTGTGGCCCAGTGATCCTCATACTGATCTGTGCAGAACCGATGATGAAGACAACACATTAAACGCGATACTAAATACTGAATTTTGTCTACAAGCACATGAAGAATATCTTCTGAAACTGAAAGCATGTGTAAGCTGTACGCCTTTAATTATGTTAGCCTGGGTAACATACCAGGTTGGTGATATCCTCAGGCAGGGAGAGATCCTCAGGCATGAGTCTGAGTGCAGATGTACTGGCCTCTTCCACTGGGTTCACATTTGTGAGTCCACCTACTGGGGCTGCAGTCGCGGTGTCCTTCTTGACCATCTCGGTCACATCATGGATGATGACACCTGAACCCTGGTCATCAAAGTCCTTTGACTGGGATTGGGGCTGGAGAGATAACATACACAGATTTTCAATTTTTATCTAACAAGAAACAGACATTTTTTCAAATACATTCTTTCTCAATCTACACCATAGTTCAATTTGCGTTACATTCATCATCATTCTCAATAATCCTTTATATATGCAACTTAAGATTTACAAATAGCACATATTGAATCCTTTTTACCCAGAATATTATATACAACAGGCATTCATCTAGGCTCTTTCAGCTGCTTTGCCAAATTTGCTTGCCAACAGAAAGGTTTCCATTAAAAAACGTTTTAGATTCAATTTAAGACAATCTGAATGGTATTTTCCTAAAGAAATCACAAAATATTTTAAGTAATGGTACTGAAATACAAGAAAATAAATCAAGCATATCTACCAACAATTTTACCAGTTTAATCATTATTTTGGAAAGACCTAGCTTTTGTACACAGAAAATGTTTCAATATAGGGAAATTTACCTAAATCTTAAAATATTTGTCAGTTTATAGAAAGGCTTTTTAGACTTAAAACCTAGATTAATTCATATGCAAGCCTGTTTAAGCAGCTGTTCAGCAAACACATCTAAAAAGGGCAGTCGTGCTATATATACTATATATTTTTGCCCATACTCCATTTTATGTGAACAATATTACTGTGTAATATACAAATTATTGAGGCTATATTTAAATAGCAGCAATATGATTTAATAATGAAGGTGAACTATCTGTTTACTGGTGTTTCCCTTGGATACCTACACTTTGTACAGAGTAATTCTGGGCAGTCTTAGCTGGCACAGACTGCATACTCTTGCTGTACTTGGCCAGTTTGTTAGATGGTTCCTCTGAATCACCAATCATCAGAGGCATGCCCATCTTCCTCTTCATTCCAGACAGACCACGGTTACCCCCAACCAAGTGTACCAGGAACTGAATCAACTGCAACATTCAATTAACCCATTTTAAGATAATCGGACAAAATGATCAGAATTGTCTCGACTATTAAAAAAAAGTCATGACCACTTTAATCTTAATTTACTAACGTAAAGTAAATAAGGTTTCAAACATTATCTGGAATTCCATCAACAATCTGCATTAATATTGTAGTACAAAACAAGAGGCCCATGGGCCTTAACGGTCACCGGATATATTTATACAGAGAGTTGATTTTGTTTTTAACACGAACAGAAATATTATTCAAAGTGACAAAAAACAATAAAACCACCTTTTTCAATACTTAGCATACAGATTTAAGACTAAAAAGTATATGAAACTAGCACCCCTGATTCTAAACAAGGAAAATGAAGAAATTTTAGCACACTGACTCCTGTGGGCCCCACCCTACAGCCCTTGGGGGTAGGGCTGGCTCAAAATTTTCATAGTATCAAACTGTCAACTCAGGGTTATAATTCCAATCAAGTTATTAACATGTAATATTCAAAGTATCATTTGCCATTATAAACCATAATAAATTTTGCCCCCACCCCCTTCCTTCCCCAGGGGGTAAACGTGAGACCCTAGGGTCATAACCTTAAGACCCTTCCATCTATGAAGAGTGTTTGATTCTACCATATTTTGGTCTTTTACTCTTTGAAAAGAAGATTTTTAGAAATTTCAGTCAATTCAACCCTTTTTTGCCCCACCCATCAGCCCTGGGGGGTCAGTCAGGGCTCATATGTGCATACCATCAAACTGCTACCCAATACTGATAATGCTAAGCTAAATTGAATTACTTCCAATGGAAATTAAACAAATGTTGGTCCAAAATGTGAGTTCCCTATTTAACCTATAGTAAAGTTTACCCCCTCCCCAGGGGGAAACGTGATACCCCAGGGTCATAAAATGCACAATTTTAGTAGAGCACCTTAAGATCCTTCCATTTATGAAGAGTATTTTATTCTACCATATCTGGGTCTTGAGAAGAAGATTTTTTTGAAATTTCAGTCAATTTAACCCTTTTTGGTCCCATCCATCAGCCCCGCGGGGTCAGTCAGGACTCATATGTGCATACCATCAAACTGCTACCCAATACTGATAATGCTAAGCTAAATTGAATTACTTCCAATGGAAATTAAACAAATGTTGGTCCAAAATGTGATTTCCCTATATAAACTATAGGAAAGTTTACCCCTCCCCAGGGGGAAACGTGATACCCCAGTGTCATGAAATTCACAATTTGGTAGAGCACCTTAAGGATGTACTCTTCTGAGGTTTCAATCACGTTCAAGTCTCGTTTTGATCTGGTGTAATAGGTTTTTTGTAATATTTAACAAATTATGATCAAGTTTATTAGCAAACACGCATCTGAAAAATATGTCAAAAAAATAGATGCCTGTTGTTTGTAGAACTTTTTTTACAAGAATTTAAAAAAAATACCAATTTGGCGGCCATTTTGAAAATGTGTATTAATGTGTATTTCTTGCGCTTCAAAAAAGGCCAAAATTTCACCTTTTTTGACACTATATTGATCACTTAAATTGTCATTGTGTCGCCATTCTTAATTGTAGCAGGTTCAATTTTGCTGTACAACTTTATAATGTTCAATATGATAAAAATAATATGCAACAAACTGGAAATTATCCATTATTGATATTTTTTTACGTTTTTAGTGTAACTGAAGCACATTTGATTTTTGACCCCTAAAAAAGTCAAAAATAACACAAATGATAACGGGACAAAAAAAGAAGCACACTGACCCCCCATTTTTGTAGATGTTTTAGAAAGAGGAACACATTTTCACTTAATTCATTAAATATTAAAAAAAATAAAATACCAAAACTTTTTATATCAAGCGTTTAATCTGTAAAAAAAATGGTAAAAAATGAGTATTTTTTCATTAAAAAATAGGGGTAGGGGTAACTAAAATCGGCTTTCTGAGTTAAAAGAATAAGATTAAGAAATTTTATTTCCATAATTTAAAAGAAAACAATATTTTCATCAATTCTACAAACATTCATACATATCTGATAACACACTTGGAAGAAATTGTATGAATTTGTTCTGCAAATGGTCAAAACCCCAAAATCCCCTAAAATCACATGTTGTGTTAAATTGGTATCTTTGACCGATCATAGCACAAAAACGAACACACGGACATATGTTTTTTTTTGCATTTTCTACTATGCCATTAATTCCTTTTTCCAAAAATCCATATAAGAAAAAAAGTTCAATACAGGAAATTTTTGACTTCTCAGAGGTGTACATCCTTAAGACCCTTCCATCTATGAAGAGTATTTGATTCTACCATATCTGGGTCTTGAGAAGAAGATTTTAGAAATTTCAGTCAATTCAACCCTTTTTGGCCCCACCGATCAGCCCCGGGGGGTCAGTCAAGGCTCATATGTGCATACCATCAAACTGCTACCCAATACTGATAATGCTAACCTAAATTGAATTACTTTAAATGGAAATTAAACAAATGTTGGTCCAAAATGTGATTTCCCTATATAAACTTTAGTAAAGTTTACCCCCTCCACAGGGGGAAACTTGAGACCACAGGGTCAAAAAATTCACAATTTTGGTAAAGCACCTTAAGACCCTCCATCTATGAAGAGTATTTGATTCTACCATATCTGGGTCTTGAGAACAAGATTTTTGAAATTTTAGTCAATTTGACCCTTTTTGGCCCCGCCCCTCAGGGCCCTGGGGGCTGGGGACCAAACCGGACACTATCTTTGTTGACCTTTGACCATGGAAGGTTTCTGCAAAATTTCTTTGAAATTGGTTCAGGGGTTTTGGAGAAGAAGTCGAAAATGTAAATTGTTTACAGACGCACGGCGGACCACGCCGGACAAAAGGCGTTCGCAATACAGGTCACTTGAGACTTTGTGACCTAAAAAAAACACTCTATCTAAACATAATAATCAGGGTTCCTTGCAAACACTGGTATATCAGTTACTTACCTTCCTTAAATTAAATGGAATTAAAACAGGGAAACAAATCCTGGCTATCTACTGGTATATTCAGGATTTTTAATTTTTAGTGAACTCCCCGACCTGCTGCAGCACTTTAAACATATTGCTACTGACCTTGTTTACAATTTGTTGTTGTTTGATGTGTTTTTGTCTTAAGGAAGCCACCTCTCTCCACAGCAACTCGTTCTCCCTACAACCAATCAGACCAATCAGAAACACAGCATCAAAACACATAGCAGGGCCTAACCAATAGTATGTAAAGTAGAACCTTCTTAGTATTGTACCACGATACATCAAAAGTCGTACAGTGACATATTAACAGTCTAATACAAATAGGATCTTACATGAGTTTCTATTTCATATGAGATTTATGAAACGAGTCTAAGATTTTTTCAATTTAGTGAGCCTCTGGTAAGCTAGTTTCATAAATTTCATATGAAATGAAAACGAGTGTAAGATCATTTTTATCACATCATCATGACTTGTGCCATTTATTCGTGTAAAACGACAATTTTCATGCCACTTGAAATGTAAAAACCTGCCATTTTGACTCAAGTGCGTAAGTCTATGACGTCATGTACTTGTCCTAGGTGTGACGTCACAATTGAAACAATTGAAAATTTCAACCAATCATAGGGCTGATAGGTCATGATCATATTACATTACATTAATAAGCAAAAAAATATGACATGGGTATATTCACTGGACAACACACAGTACATTAGAATCTTAGTAGTGTAGTATACATAATCATATACTTTAAGTATGATGGATCAGTGAACCTACATATGAACTCTGTGTAAGATCCATTCAGTTCTCCTGGAGAAATAGTGATAAACAATAAGTGTTTAAGGACAAAAAATGGACCAAAGACAACAGGCCATTTGAACAGCAAACTATCAGACGACGGTGGGCTAAAATGAACTCTTTTTATCTTTTTTTCTCAACTGGGAAAAGGGAACCAACTTTTAACTGGGAATTTGTCCATTTCACAGACCAAAAAATGGAGATGGTAACTTCCTAGTATATCGAAATGTTATCTAATACCTTAATCATAAAATGATGTAATGGAAACTGAGACAGTAAAACAACCTTTTAACAGTGTCCAATCGACTCGACATGGTTTCCTGCTTGCCCTTGAGGACCACCACCTCTGTCAGAACTTTACCCACATCATTTTGTACATCTGGAGCCTCAGTCTTCACTATTGGCACCGTCTGCTGGTCAAAATCAAGTTATCATTTTTAGCAATACACAAGCACATACACACAAATTGCCATTTGCAGATTTTGTACTGAAATTTAGCACAAATATTTTTCTGTAATTTTTCAGGTACTGTAATAATTGAAAAGTTTAAAAAAAACATTCAAGAATGTATAGTCACTTACTACTTAACTCAATATCCATTGACTTTGCACAACTTCTTGTATATAATCATATCTATCACATAGGTAATTGTTTATTTCAGTCCAGTTTTTCTCTCACACTTTATGATTGACAGTACTGTCTCTAGACAAAAACTAACCTCCTCCTGACTAAACAGTCAGTAAACTTTCCTCTGTTTAACAATGAAGTCATTTTCTTTCCACATGATAAGGATTAATTATGATTTTTCCCAGTATTTTTCTTTTAAATAATGAAATTGAAATTCGTTTCTAGGCCTGCATAAACCCTGTATGGAGTCAAAAGACTGTCACAATTTTTCATTTAAATCATGAAATGATAATATACATGCTACATTCTGTGTAAAGATTCCAAAGTTAGTTACTGCTATATGTCTACATAAGATACATGTAATACAATTACCCCACTGATCTTTCTCTTTATGTTTTCCAGCAAGTGTTCTTGACCCCGAATGAAGTATGGATGCTGAAATTCCACATCATCTTTCTCTGTCTTCAGACCAGTATCAATATGGACCACCTTACGGAAGCCATCTGTCATAAATAAACAGAAACGCATGGCTGAATAAAGATTCATCATCCTTACATTTGGTGTCCAAGGTTTGTGACATGATTATCACTTTGACACTGACCAGTGACCAACAGTGGTAAGTTAATGCTGATAATCTCATGATCACTATTAAGTGTTTATATTTCACACACAGATTCCCTGTATGAAGCCTCTAAGGTTCCATGTCCAACAGATCAAATCTGAATTCATTTATCTTACACTGATGTACTTACACATGCTAACATTGATTAAATTTGGGGAACAATATTCAGTGAAAAATATGTCTTAATACTTACAAATTGGCATCTCTAGATCATTTTCCATACCAATGATGGTTAAAAAATACTTGTTATTTGCATTTTATCAACTTTAAATAAATATACAAATTTGCTGCTTATTTTTCCCCGAAATGGTATACCCAGGATCCATATTACAAAATAATCTGGAAAGTCTGCATAAGGACTTTCATTCTTTTTCGTTTCATTAAGTTAACTTATTTCAGTCTCATTTCAAAAGCAACTTTTAACAAAATGAGCCAAAATAATAAAGATGTTTGACTGTGTTAAATTTTTAGCAAATGCATTTACATACAGATAAGTAACTATGTTCATCCTGTATAGAAGAAACATTCTTCATACACGCCAACATTAACACTTACACATATTGAGTTGACGAATAAAGCTAGCAATATTGCTATGTTTGAAGTACAGGGGGAGGATTTCTTTTGAAAACCTTGCTTGCTCGTAAACATGGAAACTGTTCCCAGTCTGCAAAAAGAAAAACATTTAAATGCATTTCAACAAGAAAACTTTTGAAATATTTGTGCATACATACACAAAACTTCATTTCTTGGCATAAATACAAAGTATATCTGTGATGGTTTCAATAGCCTGCCCTTGTATGGTAAGGGGTTGTCACCAATCAAATCTAGCCATAAAAGGATTTCGGCAGATTTTTCAGTAACCAGATTATGTACACCTCATGATGATGTTTTTAGTGTTAGGACTTTTCAGCAAATAGGTACTTCTGACAAATTGATTTCAACTTGTGAAAAATATTCCTTTACACAACTTTAAATAAGTTCCAATGTAAATGCCTGCATTCCGACAAAATTATAAGAAACTTGATTTGGGAATTGGAAATATTTTTAAACTGATTGTACATAAATGTTATTTAAACGTTTTTCATAAGTCGTTAAAATGTATGTAATGGCAACCAAGTTAAAAACAGCAATGAAGGACTATTGCTAGGTATACCTGGTTTGTTATCATACATGGACAAATTCTAATGTCATAATCAATTTATTAATTGTTCAAAATTATCATGATTCAAAATCTGGCTAATCTGGGCTGGACAATATTAATAATCTAATCCCGTGCCTTAACCAATAAAATTTGTAGTGAATCCTTGTTGCAGGCTAGGCTGCTTATTGACAGGAGACAAAAGCCTTTAGGCTGATAGGCTGTGTCAGATATAGTAGTTACTTATTCAGAAGGACTGGTGTTACCACATAAGGTGGCAGTACCCAAATCGGATTACCAAACCATCATTTTATTGAATCATTGAAAAATCTTAACTGTCTCTAATTTTCACGCCTCTGCAACAGGAAACCCCGAGGGCTTACACATCAAGTTGATGGAGCCCCCGTACGACGAGGAAGAAGTTCGCGGATCGGTGTCCAAAGAAATCAACAAAATAATACAGCAAGTTATCTCCCCTGACCCTTCCAAAGCAGTCGGTCAATAACAACTTCAGACATGTGTACATTTTTATTGAATGAATCATTTTAAAGAATATGTATTCATGTCAAAAGATAAAGACATCATTTGTTTACATTGACACCAGATAACTGTCTCTAATGAACAGCCATGTTTGGGAATTTTTCAGTCTCAAAATAGGACCCAAGCAATAATGAATTTAGACAATAATTCACCTGATCCCAGGATATTAGGTCGTCGCATGTTGGGTTTTCAACGAGAGCCCAAAGCTTCGTTAAGAAGGCTGGAACGTTTGATGATGACATCCCGGAGGAACTGTGCATTTTATTCCTTTTTCAACAACATCACTGCTTGCAGTGCAGATTCATTACTCAATTGAATGCGCATGCGCAAAATTCCTGCTTTCCGGTAATAGTGTGATGAGACCGGTACATATTTTTTAAAATACTGATGTATATTCTATATTTTTATAATACTGCGTAAGTATTGAAGGCAATCTATTTTTAAAATTATTTATTTACAAGATTTTCGTTTAATGTTTCTGTACAAAAGTCTATAACAGGGTAAAACATGACATCTTATAGACTTGCTCAAGTCCAGAAGAAAAAAAACTGCATTATTTCAACAAATTGTGAGTTCGTTTCAACACGGAATTAGATCAGATATAAGTCCGTAATGTTACTAGGATTTTGGGAGAAAAATAAAAGCCTTCTCTGAAATAATATTTATATTCCTTAGCTCACTTTTTGCTGCTGTAGAGTCGGTTGAAGTATCCTCGGGTGACCGGTTCCGCGCACTTATGAAGCATCCGCGATTTCGTACTCATATCGGCAGAAAACTGTTGAAATTACGGAAGACTGTCATAAACATGTAAACAATCTACTAAAGGAAACAAAAAACTAGCAACATAAAACTGTATTTAAAAAAAATCAGAACAAACATTTTTTTGCAAATTTCTCCCGTCGGAAGTAGCCGTCATATGTTTCCGTGTGTCTACTTTGATTTAGTTTCAAAGAAAGATAACTTGAATACACTAAAAAGAAATCTCTACAGTGACCTGCAAGAACAAAAGCTTCGTTCGGAATAAAAAAAATCTTTGATCATCAAATTGATTATCAAAACTGGGTTTTTAAATTTCACATTTTTAATTAATTTTTCAAGATGTCAAAATGAACGAATTCATGTAATTTTATAAATTTATTTTTTATATTTATTTAGTTATAATATAGAATCTGTTATTATTATTTACTGCAGTCTTATATCGGTTTTGGATGATGGTAAGTTATTTCTCATTTTATTAGCTCACTTATGTCGTGGTGCGGCGTCCGTCGTCCGTTCGTCGGTCGTACGGCGTCCGGCGTCAATATTTTACTTTAAACGACTTCTTCTTAATAACCAAAAGGCCAAGGATTTCGATATTTGGCCAGTGGCAAGCTGAAATGAAGGGCTACCAAGTTTGTTCAAATGAATGACCTTCACCCATATCCAAGGTCACAGGGGTCAAATATGTTTAAAAAAAAATAACAACTTCTTCTGAATAACCAAAATGCCTAGGGTGATGATATTTGGCCAGTAACATGCTGAGATGAAGGGCTACGAAGTTTGTTCAAATTAATTACCTTCACCCATATTCAAGATCACAGGGGTCAAATATGTTAAAAACTTTAATCAATTTCTTCTGATTAACCAAAATGCCCTGGGTGATGATATTTGGCCAGTAGCATGCTGGGTTAAAGGGCTATCAAGATTGTTCAAATGAATGACCTTCACATATGTTCAAGGTCACAGGGGTCAAATATGTGCAAAATATTTCAACAACTTCTTCTGAATAACCAAAATGCCCAGGGTGATGATATTTGGTCGGTAGCATGCTGGGTTAAAGAGCTATCAAGATTGTTCGAATGAATGACCTTCACCCATATTCAAGATCATAGGGGTCAAATATGTTAAAAACTTTAATCAATTTCTTCTGATTAACTAAAATGCCTTGGGTGATGATATTTGGCCAGTAGCGTGCTGGGTTAAAGGGCTATAAAGATTGTTCAAATGAATGACCTTCCCATATGTTCAAGGGCACAGGGGTCAAATAGGTGCAAAATATTTCAACAACTTGTTCTGAATAACCAAAATGCCCAGGGTGATGATATTTGGCCAGTAGCGTGCTGGGTTAAAGGGCTAGCAATATTGTTCAAATGAATGTCCTTCACATATGTTCAAGGTCGCAGGGGTCAAATATGTTAAAAACTTTAATCAATTTCTTCTGATTAACTAAAATGCCTTGGGTGATGATATTTGGCCAGTAGCATGCTGAGATAAAGGGCTACAAAGTTTGTTCAAATACATGACCTTCACCCATATTCAAGATCACAGGGGTCAAATTTGTTTAAAATCTTTAGACAACCTCTTATGAATAACCATGGGTCCCAGGATGTTTATACTTTGCAAGATGCATCGTGAGATGAAATGCTATACAATGTGTTCAACATAATGACTTTGTTTGACTTTCAATCACAGGGATGAAATGTTTTTAAAAAAAATAACAGGATCTTTTGAATGAATTTAAATCATAAATACTGATATTTTTCCTGTAGCTTTATTTTAGATCACTTTTAAGGTTACAAGTGTGCGTTTTATACCAGGTGAGCGATGCAGGCCCATTGGGCCTCTTGTTTCAGGTATGGGTTCATTTTGAACAAGATAAAAAGTGCATTAAGCAAAACTGCAAATTCTTGTTTTCAGGACGAACTTCCGGTAAAAAAATTGCCGGTTTACAGACGATGGCCAAACGTCTAAAATATCCTTGTGTTGTGTCCAGCATGTCACGTAGTAACGAGATAAAGCTTGATAAAATGTCTGCGTGGAACTACATAACGCGCGGAAACTGGTGACTAGACGATACATGATACAAACAAAATCGTTACGGCGTTAACAAGCCGGTGTTCAAAATGTTTCAGCGTGTCACTCACTGCATCTGGCTCGTCGATTGGTCGATGGAACGTTTGAGGTCTGTCGTCCTTGATTTCAGAAGCAGTGTACAACATTGTATCTCTTTCGGAGACTTGTTTTTTGCGCGCATTGTCCACTTAACATTACGCATACACGTATATGGAAATGTAAAATTTACATTGCATGTACATGTTTCAAACCATATGTCATGATCTGAATGTTTAATTAAATGTATACATATCCACATTTTCGTGAACTGTAATGGTATTTATGATTACAAGAGGGTAAAATGAAGAATATTACACATGCTGGAAAGCTGTCCATACCGACAGCTGCACTGAAAAGTAACCCGTTCACTTAAATAACGTACATACCTGTTTAAATATATTTGTAAATTAGATAATAACAATGATGTGCACGAAAACTATGACATTTTATTTTATAATAAGTAAGTGTACAATCGGCCCAAGAAACTGTCATTCAATGCAAAGAAGTACTTTTATGTATACAGTTTTATTTGAGAATATTTTTCATGACAATTGAACTGTTACAGCTTGACTGGCTGCTGATTATCGTTACATGAACAATTTAAAGGTAAGAATAATTACCAAAACAAGTCTTTCCTGATTTACCATAACCGTGCGTCGCTATTTATTTGGATATCATTTTCAAAAATCTATTTTATCAAAACTAATGAGAGTTTGGAGAAGAAATTTAATCAGAACCCTCGTTGACTAACATATTTCAGCTATGCATATTTTCTGCCGATGTTTATCGTTTATCCCCAAATATTCGCCAACATTCCGGAAGTGTCCCTTTCAGGGTACAGTTACGCCGGTTCAACGGCCTACGTAGCTCTGATGGTATTTCGTTTGCTTTTTATAGAACCACGCGCCCGAAATATCAAATTGTGATAAAAATGAAAAGTGCATAGCATCTATTTATGAAAAATGAACATTTTTTTTAGAACTGATAGTATAGTATTGTATAAAGAACATTGATATTTATCTAAAAAGTGTGCCGATAGTACATTGTGTACCCACGAATGTCAGCTGCAGTGTTATTCTCGTGTAATATTCTTCATTTTGCCCTCTTGTAATCATAAATACCAATATAGTTCACGAAAATGTGAATAGGTATATATTTAACGAAACATTCCAGTCATGACACATGGTTTGAAACATGTACATGCAATGTAAATTTTACATTTCCATATACGTGTATGCGAAATCTTAAGTTGACAATGCGCGCAAACAACAAGTCTCCGAAAAAGATACAATGTTGTACACTGCTTCTGAAATCAAGGACGACGCCGACCTCAAACGTTCTATAAACCATAGACCTAAATTAACGGGACCTTTACTTTAGGTCTCTGTATAAACCAATCGACGAGCCAGATGCAGTGAGTGACACGCTGAATGAACCGTTCGGTTTGTGGGCGTGTTCTTTTTGAATACGGCTTGTTGACGCCGTAACGATTTTGTTTGTATTCCGCTCATGCGGCTTAATTTCCCACATCAAATTTACGTTGTTAATGGGTATAAATATTATGTCCATTGTTTTCTCATTTCACATAGATCTCAGCCTGTGTCGATTTGATAACAGTTCCGATCCCGCGAATTTCGAATCCCAATCAATACTGCCACATAAAAAACAAGCAGTTCAAACTTACCAAGTAACAATACACCATTGAATTACATTTAACAATAATACAGTGTAGATAAAAGAAAATACGGAGAGTCAAACGATAGGGCCTAATATTGCTCCTGTTTTCTTTTAATGGCATATTCCTGAAAAGTGTACGAACTCTATTTTGTAAGGAGAATTTGAATGAAACACAACAGTTGATCATTTAATGCTTTATACATTGATATTGTAAAACCTATGGGATGGTGTTTTAATGCTTTATATATTAATATTGTAAAACCTATGGGATGGTGTTTTAATGCTTTATATATTGATATTGTAAAACCTATGGGATGGTGTTTTAATGCTTTATTTATTGTAAAACCTATGGGATGGTGTTTCAAGTATATACTATGAAGGATACAGACCTCTGAAAGGGAGTTATAACTTGTCAACAAGTTCTACAAAGATTTATGCTTGAGATGCGGCTTTATATGAGGTGCTGGGAATAAGATACGCCGTAACGGGTATAATAACCACATTCAAGATAATTTAGCGGTGGTCAAGATTGTATTGCCTCAGCGAGATAAAAAAAAAAAAAAAAGTATGCCGTAACAGGGGCTACGTTCACTCGCTCTCTGCACCCCTGGGATACCTTTATGTCATAGCAACATTGAAGACATGCGGCTAGCTGCATTTGATTGGTCTTGGGTAAAAAAAATACGTGACCGATCGCTATGCAACGAAGGTATTTTACATGTACCTTTCCTTTGGAGATTGCAGAGGAACGACACGAGACTTCAAAG